CTTTCAGGGATTTCCACAGAGAGATGTTATCCCATTTAATTGCCTTATACATAGAAAATGATGCTTTTAATTTCTTAAATATCAAAATAATACTTATTTGCATACATTTATTTTATTGAAATACAGAAGAATGGCAAGCTTTGATTTTAGACAACTTGACAATGTAAATTAGAGAAGAGTTTTTGTAGCCACTGAACCTTTCAAAGCATTGCTGGCATAGTTACTTCTGTTTCTGTGGTTACCTGTCTGTCTCTCTACAGGAGAGGGTATTTCTGCTAGTGGCATACCCTGTAGTAGTGGGTAGCAGATTGATGACAGAGGGACACAGTAATATAGCAGAACCACACAAGAGTGCTAGCTGGGCACTGACCAGGCAGCAGGATTAAATAGAATTAGTCTCTTACTGCCTTTCGTGTGGGCAGCCTTTAACCTGACATATCCTACTTCTTCCTCCCTGCCTCCTCCCTTCATTGAACAAATGCTGGACTAACTCAGCGATTCCTTGCCGTATCTACATGCACCTATCTTTAAGACATTGGGTACTGAACTTCACAGTGCTGTGGCCCCCTGACTTTGTGGCACAAATATTTTCCTGATTAATGTGTACCTTGTTTCCTTGATATTATGCTTTCAAAATCTCGTACTTTAGAATAAGCCTAATTTATGAAACAACTGATTTATAGCTTCTGATTTATACCACATACTTTCCTGAAGTTACTGATGCTGACCTTGCCATTTTTAAGAGAGAAGCAAAGTTAAACTTCTGCCAGACAAACCAGGTTTAAAGATCAGTAAGGAAGGAGACTGACTGTCCCAACAAGAAGTTATGGGGAGCTAGTAAAGCAAACTGAGAAACATGAAGCATTTATTATTCACTGGAAATAATGGTTTCCTGTTAAAACTGGCTCTTTGACAAAGGTGATGAATTTAATTCCTTGCTTTCTCATTGGGGAATTAGGAAGTTAGCATGGGACAGGAGCAAAAAGTCCTCTCCCTTCTCTAGAGAGTAACCTAAAGCTAGCCAAAGCTAAGGTTTGGAAGGTGTTCAGGAACCACTGTCAGAAATTTTGTGATTATCAAAAAGTGTCAAAAAAAATCGAAGTACTATAGTTGTCCTAGAAGCCAATCCATTGTTCACCCTCACACATATCCATATGTAAGCAGCTCAGTGAGTGGTCATCTAGGACATATCCTATGAAAGAGCTGCAGTACAACTTCTCATGAATGTCAGCACAATTTAGTGCCTGTCAGGAAGTGACAGTGAGACTGGACTTTTTAAATGTCAGATTGACTGAATTTTTTGCAAGCGCGGATTGCTAAAAGGATTGAAACTCATTATCTCCTGTAAAAGTCTGACAAATATGTAAGATATGATGAAGGAAAAGACCTTGTTTTACATATTTTGTCAATTTTTAGGTTTTACTTTAGAGCTCCTTGTGCTTTTAATGGCTGCAAAAGCAAAACAGCTTCATAGCTGCTCAAGTGTGCAGAGGAGTTATTTATTAGGTGCTATTTCAGACTCTGTGCTTGGACAGGCTAGGCTGTAATATCAACCTCAAAATTAGTTAGTAGCACTGCTGAGGGATGTTTTCCAACATCTGTTTTTAGCACTGTTAGATTGGAGCTTAGAGTATGGATTATTTAAGGAAATTTTTGAATGGGGCCACACTAAAGATGAACTGGAGTGATTCTGTGCTTGAGTCAGCAAACATATTATAACTGTCTGTACAAAATGCAAGAGCAGACATACAGCTGACCCTGTTGCTGAAATAGAAGTACATTTCAGTAGATATCCTATCAAAAGCCTTATGAAGAGAACTTTAAAAGACATTATCTTAAAGGAGAGGCACCTGCTCACTGCATATTAAGACCACTGGTTTGAAGAACTGTCAAATTTGGAGGTCAGTCAGGGTTGCTGTATTATATATGCCATGTTTATATCTTGTCTACCACTGGCTTAATTTTCAAATAGTAAATACATCCTGATAGATATACAATTTTAGAGACTTCATGTTTATACACTGTTTCTGGGAAGTAATGGATTAAGTGTCCTGTACTAGGGTTAAAACCATCCCCCCAAGGATGCTACCAATGTAAAGGCACTATTAGACTTTTTCCTTTTTTTATATTTAGCCAAAATAGCCAATGATTTAAAATACAGAGCAATTATCACTGTCTGTCATATGGAAATTACTGCTCCCATTGCTTAGCCAGCAAAAGGCATCAGGGTTTTATATGCTCTTGCATCTATGGTAGGATAAATTGTCTGAGCTTACTCTGGCTTCCAAGTGAAGGTACTTTCAGTAACTCAGACAAGGCTGCCTAAGAATACAAGGGTGTGGTTAGACGGAGATAAGTGTTTCATATTACCTTCAAGGTGCTGTGATATTCACTTTCAATGAACAATTATAAACAATGTACCCCACTGCTGTGAGACCTGCACTGCAAATTCAGAATTAAGGTGGCATCACTAGTGTTTGTACAAGGATATCAAGAATTAATATGTGTATATATATTCAATGCCTTTAGAAAACATGCCCTTTTAATGCTGGAGGATATTTTTCTTGGTTTTGCTTACAGTGAGTACCCTGTGAAGGACTGGAGCAGGCAACTGACATTTTTGGCTGTTTTTTACAAAATAATATTTAGTTGATATTTTATTCCCATTTGTGAAAAAGGGCAAGAATTTATTGAGATAATTTTCTGGGATTAGAAAGTGACTGTTTATATGCTAATGAAGTTGTTTCTGAGTCTGCTGATATTCCTTGGGAATTTAAGAGCCATGATGTACCTCACCACATTATTTGTCTATTGTTTATCCCCATGTAAAAGTTACTGAAAATGATAACATGAAGAAGAATGCTCTAGCAGTTACGATATAACCTTCCAGATTGGCAAAACCTCCATGAAAGACACTTTATCTTTTCATCTCTGAAACAATAATTTCAAAAGGAAATCTTAAAATCAGACTAAGAGAGCAGGCATAGTAGTGGGATCATGTTGTATCAACCTGTACATCCACATACTAGATACTCTTTTCTGCAGATCTTCACCATACTCCAAATCATTCCAATAAGAAGCCTTATGTGTGTCTCTGCAGAGACACTTGTGAGCTGAAAGCTGCCACTGTGGAGCTTGGTGCAATGACTTCTAGAGTAAATGTAAGAATCCTAGCAGCTAGTGCAAAAAGAGACAGAATTTCCAGTGGTCATGAATCCATATCCTCTAAGTACTGGACACAGATGTGTCATATAACACATTTTCTGACTGGTAGCTTACAAAAACAAAGAGTGTGACAAGAGACAGAAATGTGAAATAGACACTTGGTGATTCACTCCATAAGTCACAGATTACTGTACTTTAAAGTGCAGTATCTCTTTTTAGAGACTGTCATTTTGTGACCAATATTAAATAGTCTTTTGCCTGTCACAGTTATGCACCTCGATCCCTTTGAGGTCTTCATTACGGGCTTTGAGTAGCTACTTAGATCAAGATAATATTCTCTGTCCAAGAATAGGACCTGGGACAACAATTCTTTATTATTGCTTTCCAGAGATGCTGAAAGTTCAAAGAACCCGTAAAGCCTGTGATAAAACTATGGAACACACTGTTAAAACCAGAAGCAAATGCAAAAAACCCAAAAATGTTAATTTATTGCAGAACTTAAAAACCAACTAGTAGGTATATTTGGGAAGGGGTCTTAGCAACATGCACAATGTATCATTTCCCTTCCTTGCCAGCTACTTGTGTACATGTCTGCGAAGGAGAAGCTCGGGCTCCCAGGCCAGCCTGCAGGGACAGGTAGGTTTCTCAGAAGGGAGATCAGCAATCTGTGCAGTCAGGCCTCTAAGCCAAACTCCCTGATGTGCACATGTTTGTAACAGGCATGGTTTAACCTCTGAATCTCTCCGTACCTAAAGTCAGGGTTTTGAAAGTTTATCTCTGCACAAGAGATCCTGCTCTGAAGTTCAGTCTGCCTGACCTGTCTTTACAGTTTTGGTGTATGTCTCTCTAAATTATTCCTTTGGGGAAGGGAACCCTCTAGTGTGCTTAAGGCAGAGAGGAGCTAGTGTCTTTGAAGACCTAATAATTTTTCTGCCTAATTCCCTTGCCTGCTTCTGATTTTCTGTAGAGCCTGAATGCTTCCAGAGGCAAGGAAAAGACTGAAGAGCCTTCTCTGACAAGGGAGACCCAGAGTCCTGAATCACATACCTACCATGATGTAATAGAAAAATATTGCTTTCCAGTTTCAGCTTTATTTTAAAGTCAAGTCATAGAAAGAAGGAAGAGCAAAAGCTCACTACACATACCAGTAGAAGTCACTGGCTCAATTTTTTGTCTCCTCCATTATTAGTCTCCTAGGGAAGACTTTATCTCATAGGAAATGTATTATCTCCTGGGTGGAGTTCGTAACCGATTTACTACTTTTTATCATAAATATGATGACTGGATCAGAAGAGAGAAGACATTTGAATGCAGCAGGAAGAAAATAAAAAGCAAACAATTATGAATTTACCACAGCTGACTGTTTTTTCAAGTATTTAATTCCAGTTTAAATGAAAAAACTTAACACAGTGCACTAAGTATTCTCTTAAAAAGATTCCAAGCTCAGAACCTATATAGATCTTTGGAGAACTTCCACTGATTGTTTTTTTTTGCATGAAAACCTTTCATACTAGATGCAGTTTATTTAAAAACACCCAAGTTGAAAGATAAAGAGATAAAAGACTCAAACCTCTGTCTATAAAACAACAATCATCTGCCAAAATCACATGTAATGGACCATTAGTTCTTTGTTCCATATCCTGTGTTTGAAAAGTCTTACCTTATAAAGATGTCAGGACTAAAGCTATTATTAGGAATTTTCTCCAAGGAACACATCCATCTGTGGAGAAATGCATATTTTATGCATGGTAACTAATACATATGACCTGACATTTATGAAAAATTATAAATTATACTCTGTGCTGATGCTTCATTTTTGTGTTTTTATTTTCCAGATGGGAGTTGCTGTAGTGGATTCATCTGTTGCAGGACTTGGTGGTTGTCCCTATGCAAAAGGTGCTACTGGAAATGTAGCCACAGAGGATGTGATATACATGCTGAATGGTCTGGGGATCAACACAGTAAGATATATTTATTTTCTACTTAAGACTCTAAGGAAAAAAAACAATTTTAGGAAATGTACAATACATACCTCACAAAAACTTGTGCTGTACAATAAAATATTCTGAGCCCATAGTAGTTTTTGCAAACTCAATGAGTTAATATGGCTTGACCCATAACAGTAATGATGTTGTCTTCATTATCAATTTAGACTAGAAATGGTTTGCATATTTAACATAATTTGAATAGTCCACTTCTTCCTACCTGGAGCTATGAGTAACTTAGTAGCAGCTGCTTTGTGTCATTGCTCTGCCTCAGTAACCACAAAAAAATAATTACTGTAGACATTGCTCATAAGGGCTGATCGTCTCAATAGTGGAAAGGCTGAGCAGAGCTCAGCTTTTGTCTTAGTTTTGGATTTGGCTCATAGTGTTTATTAATTTGTTGTCAATTTTTCTGACTTCAGAATTGAAAAAATTTGTGATGTTTGGCACCTAAGCACAGGACATTGTTATTTCTCAAGTCTCCACTTAATATATTTCAAAATTGTACAGAAACTGTTACTGGCTAAGAGGCTTCACAGTCATTTTTATTACCAGCCCTGTTCTTGGAGGAGCTTTTATGCACTGAGCTGCACTTTAATGAACCTTACCAGTGAACATCCACACCTTAAGAGCACACATTTAGTATCCCTGGTTTGGTTGGCATGTTAATTATTCTGTATTCCTAGGACTCAATTACTGCCTTCTTCAATAAATGTGCTCATTGGTCTTACTGCCTTCTTCAATAAATGTGCTCATTGGTCTTCCTGTCGGCCCCCATTTTTCTTGATATGTGGCATAATGAGTTCATGCTAACTCAGACATTGCAGTAACTTCATGTTTAATTTACACATAGTCTTGGAGAGCCAAGTTCAAAGGAGAACAAATAAAGAACTGCAAAAACTACGAAGGGAGTGATTTCCATTTAAACTACTGCAGAAAGAAATCTAAATGCCTGATATCAGAAATAGGAAGATTTGAATTATTGAGGAGCTTATTGGAACTTATCACATGCTTGTAGGCTGCAGTTCCGTGTGGTATACATGCCAGTGGAGTTCCTTGACGTGAAAGGATTACAGAACTTGTTTCTGAGTTGCACATCCCCTGGGCAGTGTTAAAACATATTCAGTGCCTTACAGAGTTCACTGCAAGCATTTTTCTGCTCTCATTTGCTTTTTAGGAAGTTCAGGGTAGATGTCAGACACTTATTTAGAAAATGTTCAATCATGAGTATCCAATGTACAAGTGGACTCTGTTTTGAACTGTTTGTACACACTTTGGGGTAGCTTTTCTTCATGAAGAAGATGTTTATTCTTTTGAAACAACACAATTCTTTGTAATAAGGAGGAGAGATAATGCATTTAACTTTACATTGCTGTGCACCTTAGACTTGGGCTTTTAGTATAGACTTTCCTTGGGCAAAATACTCATTGACCTTTCCAACTGACTCATAGCAAAAAGAAGTAATTAAGAAAAAATAGTCTGATTATATGAAATATACAATGTCCCAGGCGTCTTGATAAGATTGATTAATCTTTTAACAATCTGCTGGCTAAGCAAGAACCCAATTTGTCCTAAAGGTTGATGCCAAATCCCACGAAGACAATCTCATCATTAAATGCTTAGTTCTTCTTTTGTTTGGTTTAGTGGTGATTTTACTCAGGTTTTGTTTAATTTTAGATTTTAGATTATGCAATAGCAAAACACAAGACTTTGCTTTTTGAATCCTTTCTGGCTCATTAAATGTTTTACTGGATGAGAGACCTGGACGCTCAAAGTCATTACCATAATATATGAGCTTTTTTCTTTATAATGTTGGCTGGTTTTGGTACCATTGCCAATTCTGTAATAACATTATTGAATAAAAATATCAATATTAATTAATATTACTATTAATATCTGTGTAATGGCAAAAAATGAAATTGTAATTGCTAATGTCCATTTGCAAGGAGCAGTTTCTCATGGTCATCTCAACTATACACTAAAGTTTTCAGTTAGTTGAGTGAACTCACCTTAAGTGTCAGGCAATGTTGGACATTATTTAACCATACATTATTTTAACTCGGTTAGTCAGAGCATGGTGCTGATAGCACAGGTTTGATCTCCGTATGAGCCATTCAATTAAGAATTTGACTTAATGGTTCTTGTGGGTCCCTTCCAATTCAGAGTATTCTGTGATATCTATGAATTATTGAGTTAAGATTGACAAGATACATCAAAATAATAATTGTTGCTTTTTCTATACTGTTCTTCAGAACACATAAACAATAAGTGACCCATGAAATTAATCTTTGGCAGACTAAATGTGAAATGATTTTGAAGTCAATGAGAATTAAAGGATTTTGCCTTCTGGCAGAAGCTTTTGTGATTTAAGGCACCTATCCAAGTTTATTAGAGGCACTTTTCTTTGGATTTTTTTGGGGGGAAATTAATTCCTTGGAGTGCATGAGTAATTCTGGATATATTGAGTGATTACCAAGTATACTTAGGAAATACATTCTGGGTATCTATCTGAAGACACATTATTTTGTTGACAACCTTACAAACACTTACTCCTGTCCCATTCCTATCTCTGAGTCATGCTAATGAATGCTGGGTTTTTTTCTCTCATGGTAGTCCTCTTTCATAATACTTATATTAAGGAAGACAGTATAAAAAGCAGAGATTCATGTATTCCATTTAATGAATGTGAACTGTGAAAGTATGTTTCTTACCAACACATACCACATGGTGCAGTGTTGCAGTGATGAAAACTTGACTATTGTGTAGTTTGGGGAGTTCATTTTGACAGCTTCCATAATCTAACTACCAATATGTCTATGGGGGTAAATTGCTCATTTCTTTCTTGTTAGAAAGTACAGATAGATTAAAATTTCTTAGATTATGTTATGTGTAATAGCATTTTAGAAACTAAATCTAAGTAATGACCCATAAAAGATAAACAGAATAAGCTGAAATAAACCTTGTTATAACTGTATTAAAATGAGATAGATAGATGATAGATAGATAGATGTCTTTGAATTATGTGGTTTAGATGGTGCTAGCATGTTTTTCAATTTAAAAATGTTTTTTGATTACATTTCTGCTAAGTAATTTCTACTCTCATTAACATTTTTAGCCAATTCCAAGAATGAAAAAGGCAACGCTTACCACAGAACATGGAAATAAGTGCTAGATCCAGTTAAAGGATTAAGTGTTTAAGTCAGGTTTTGGTCTGAATATTAGTGCATCAATTTGGAAGTGTGATGAAAGTGTAATTTCTGGTGCAATACACCTTGTACTCCTTAAAGAAGAGTTACACCCTTCTCCCAGTTTTGAATGACTTCTTGGTGTATTTGTCATTCAAAGTCTCCTTTTCCATCCTTTCTACAGGAACTTTACTCTGGCTTCTATATTGCAATCTTTGGAGGAAGTACTTAAATCACAAATATGATCTAATTTTAAAACTTCTACTATACATGAGTAATAAAGGAGACTTTTAATGAAGTGGTTTTGCCTCTTTAATCAGTGATCTGATTAAATTTTAGCAATCAAGCAGTACTGATATGTAGTTAAAAAACAGCTGCTCAAAGGGCATGTTTTTTAGTATGGGCAGATGAAGCAGTTGTGAATTTTTGCTCAGCTGTGTTATTAAGGTAAATTGTAATTTTGAATTGAAATGGACTCCTTCAAGAAGGAGATTATAATTATTCAAGAGAATACAGGATCCCATTTCTCCTGGATTCAGTTGCTGATACAAGTGTGTCTCCTCCATTTTCCTGAGCTGCAAGTGGGGCACTTGCAAGCATGAAGTTTTATAGTGTTGAATGGTAAATACATATAGCACATATTTAGACACTGTATTTTTCTTCTAACTTCTAGTTGTAATTCCAGTTCTTTATTCCAGATTCTTTTGGGATTGAAAGATATTACTGCAGTATTTGGTCCACTTCTGATGGGACAAGGAGTCACTCTCAAAGTAGTAGAACCTTTCAAACAACTAGAAGCTGTAACTATCCGTAAATCACTGTAGCTTTACTGATCTCCATTACTGACCTATAACATGAAACAGGCCCTTTGGAAAAAAATTAGACCCTGGAGCAAAAAAATTGGAGTCTAAGCATTTTCAGTATGTGCATTTATTAACATTTTTAACCTCTTTTTTAGGGAGTAAATCTTTGTGCTGTTATGGAAGCTGGAAATTTCATCTGCACAGCTTTGAGCAAGAAAACAAATTCGAAGGTTGCACAAGCTTCCTTCAGTACTGGAACTATCAATTAAATGGATTTTTCTTTTTGCAGCTTGATTACATTTTCCATTTTCCTTGACCAAGGACATTTGCATCAGGAAAAGAAACAAGAAAATCATTGAATCAAAGAAGCAGAATAGTTTTGTTTTGTTTTGTTTTGTTTTAATGGGAAGAGTTATTGTACTGTACTGTCTTGTAAGGAAGTGTCAGACTTTTAAGAAAAAAATGACTGCATTATAGAACCCTGTACTTGGTACTTCTACAGATGAGAAAAATGTATAAACATTAGGACATTTTACCATGTTTTAAACTGAATTTTTAGTTCTTTTCAGGAAAACCAGGTAGAAGCAATGAGTACATAGTTAAATTTTAATCAAGATGTCTTTCAGAACAGTACAAATATTTTCAGTAGTTTATGAGATCTCACACTGTGTGTGGCCATTCTATTATGTATTTTATTTATATGAATTCTTGCTTTTCATTTGTCAAGTCACTGTGTTATGAACATGGAGCTAAATCTGAATTCACCATAAGAATTTTTTAGCAATAGAACTTCTTTTAAATTTTGTTTAACATCTGTTAAATTATGGATGACTTTATCTTGTTCCAAGACATTGTGGTGAGTGGCACTCTGCCAGATGCTTCAAATACTCCTGCAAATTTCCTTATTTGTTACATATGTTAAATTTGTTGTAATTGCCTTTTTTGGTCAACTTATTAAAACCTAATTATATGAAGCAAATAAAAATTGGCAGGGTTTTCAACATCATTCAGGTTCATAGTAGTGTCAAAGGAGATACATTTCATCCAAGGTTTCATCAAACAATTAGATTTTTCATTATGTAGGCTATGAATTGATATTCTCATTCAGAAGTCACAGTTTTTCAGGATAATAGTATTTTACTGGACTAGCTTACACAAAGGAGACCATTTACAATTTTTTATTTTTGTGCTTTATTGATAATGATACTGTTCTTTTAAATGCCTTAAAAGAAGGCATTTAAAAGACAATATCACAAGATGCCAGTGAACTGCACTGTCATTTCTAGATCAATAATGAACAAATGGACACATTCAAAGAGCCTAATCTTATCTATAAATGTTCAGGTGTGCCATGAAAATACCGTCATGTTTTTCAGCCTGAAACTTCAGTACTCTTACTGGTTGGTTGTGTAGGATCTGTCTGTACTTCTCTGTGTACTTAACTATACTTTTTCTGAACCTGTTGACAAGAAAATCTAAAACCCTGGACTGTGCTCTTCATCAATATTCTCAATTTTTCTCAAAAATATGAAATCTTGTCAAAAGGAAGGTAAGATGAAAGAAAGTGAAAGATAACACATTAAAAAAGAAAAGGCTGAATATTTTTTGTCTGAAACTCAAGTCTGACAAGTTACAGCTGAGGCATGGTTTGCCTTTGAAATACCAAAGTGAATTTTTCTGAGATCTTTTAGCCAGTTGTGTAGTTTAGAATTGGCATAGCTTAAGTCAATCTTAAGTCATTCCAGGCAACGCAAAACTATAAATTTGATATAATATCTCTATCTTGTTTATGACCTAAATGATAGTCAAAATTAATATAAGGTACTTTGTTTCACTCTTCTCATGATAAAAGTCAGAGAATAAACAAAGAAATGAGTTCAGATGAGGCAAGAAATATCTTGCCTATCATTCCAAAATACTAAATCTCTCCTGAAGAGTCTAGTAAGAAGACTTTCAAGTACTTCTGAAGGTGTGAACACCCTGATTTTCTTGACCTGCCTGGATGCATGGTTGGATCACCACAAAAAAGCTCTTCTTTTTCCTGTGTTTCAGCTGAGGCTTTGCTCTTTAGAAGCCACTATAGCTCATATATCAAAACACAAACTTAAATAAAACCAGGTCTTGAAACATTCACAAGCTTAGAAATTCACCCAGTGAAGAGCTGAGCAGTACTTAGACTGTACTCTGTCTAATAATTAGTAGTTAAACCTAAACATGGTGGCAGAACTGACATCTTAAAGACTCCCTAATTTATATACCATTTGCCCCTGAAGGTGACTAACCTTACTGTAATACCTTCCCATTTAATAATAAATTTTCCTGTTTAGTTTTCTCTGTAGGCACAGAATTGGCTCATTTTGAGCTGAAGTATGCAGTTTTCCTGTAGGTCCTGATGAATTTTCTTCCATCCAAGACCCTATGAGCAAGTATGTTTAATTGACATAAACAATATTGAGCTTCTCAAGGACTGAAAGTGAAGTCAGCCCTTGGAAAAAAAAGCAGTTGTGATGCAAACCTGAATGTGAGACAAAACAACTGAACTGAGACTGAGCTTGCTAACCAGCCTGGGAAGATTAAATATATACTCATGACAGGACCTGAGGGAATGGCATGAAGCTGTAACAGGAGGTTTAGTTTGGATATTAGAGAAGTGCTCCTCACCCAGAGGGTGGTTGGGCACTGGAACAGGCTCTCCAGGGAAGTGGTCACAGCACCAAGCCTGACAGAGCTCAAGAAGTGTTTTGATAGTGCTCTTGGGCATACAGTGTGACTCCTGGGGATGGTGCTGTGCAGGGCCAGGAGCTGGACTTGATGATCCTTATGGGTCCCTTTCAACTCAGCTTATTCTGTGATTATGAACTGAAAAAAAATAGACTTTCTAGTAAACCTGGATGAATTTGTGCCACTGGGTAGAATGGAATTAAAAATTCCTATGACCAGGAAAATCCCAAGAAATAATGTCAGTGCCTCTGCAACAGGGTTCTTTTAACTTGAAGGTGGCGGTGAGACCTTCAATTATCCAAGTGAGGAACTGAACAGCTGGTGTCCATTTTTATGCCTCTGTGCACAGTGCATCCTAGGCTTCTCAGCATCTGGACTGTCTGGTTTGGAATTCTAAGGCTCTTGATTTTTGCTATGCAGTGAAACAGGGTACCTATTAAATCATGTGGATGAACAACCTAAAATGTCTCAGTTCTTTATTGGGTCTGTTTTAGAAACTACTTGGAAACTTGTGGAGAGCCTTAATTGCAGGTCTGTTATTCTGTAATGATGTGAGCATTGGAAAAGATCAGCAGTCACATCTGGAGCCCGTACCTTACCCACATGTTCAGCTTCAACCACAACGTGAGTTATCGTAAGCCAGGGTGGAGGTCACAGACAAATAGATTGTTTGTCAGGATTGTTACAGGAGAGAAAGAAACATAGAGCCAGAATAAAAAAGAAAGCAAGCCCCAACCCACTGTTTATGTGCCAAAATTGCCACCTGGGATGAATTTAGGTCTGTGGGTCCAGGTGAGCAGTCCCTATAAAATCCTTGTTTACTTGTAGTGTGACTGAGAATCCTGCAACATCTTACGTTCAGCCTACTGACATTTTTTTATGTGTGTAAAATGCTGCTGCTCTGCCTTCCTGTGCTGGCATAATTTTGACTATGCAGAACATTTGACAGCTAATCTCTGGCTTCACAAAATAAGCATCTATTGCTTTTAATAGCAAAGGCTAATCCAATAACTATACCATGAGCATGCACCACTCACATAGGCAGCATTGAATTCAGCATATAGTAAAACAGCTGAGACTATACCCCTTCAAAAACTTGTCAAGACATGGGATGAGGCCTCAGTCCAGTCTTCTGACTTCCTAAACCTTTATGGTTATATTCAGAATGACCCATCACTAGTGGTGTCTTCACTTTTAGTCCCTGTCACTGTCCCAACTGAATACATCGCTGTCACTTCATCCTCAAGTAGCTTCCTGGCCTCTTACATCCAGGTGTCCATGAGCAGGTGTTCTTATCTCTGTGTCATAAAAATTATAAATCAAGATATTCCATTGTTAAGGCATGACTGGTGTGCTTTGTTGGAGGGGAACTGGATCAGTTCCAGTAGTATGGCATAATCATTCTTCAGTGCCTTCCAGAACACAGCAATGACATAGATCCCATATAGTTCTAATGTCTTCCAGCAGCAGCTTGCTTTGTAGTTTAAACTTCTATGTATTAGAGAAACTTGGCTCTGGACCAGGGCTTTAATGGTTCATTTTCATGTATAACCAGAGCTTATGAAATAAGAACTAAATATTCTAGTGCTGTGAATAAGTCCAGAGAGGCTTTGGCTAATTTTCCTCTCTTAATAGTGTCATTTGAGTTCATAAAATTTTTATTATTGTATTAAGGAGTCACAAAATGAAGACTTCAAGTCTGTGAGGTAATATTCTTATGCTTGGGATCAGTGCATAATACTTATCCAAAGAGTTAGTGTGAATGTAGAAAGATCTGCCTCTTTTTTCACTGAGTTTGTTTTAAGGGGTAGAAATACTGTTTAGTTACTGTGATTATCAGAAAGTTGGTACTTTCTGCCACTGAATTTTTCTAAGATTTCTGACACTGTCTGAAGTTTTCTTCATTGATTGTGAAATATCTAGAAAAGTGGCTAAACAGGTATAAGAGTAGCAAGAAGTAAATAAAATCCTGTTCTTGACTTGCTGATAAATGCTTTTCTTTTGTTATATTTTTGAAGATTATTTTTCTCTACAGCCATGCTGTAACGCAGTGTTGATCTTCATTGCTGCAATAACACAGCAGGCAGAAGGACTACAGCCAAAGTCAACTTAGTCCTTTGAAACCAATGTCAAAGAGATGATATGTTTGTCAAGGAATTGTCATGTATCCGCCTGGTTAAATGCATTTGTGATTTTGCAATATGTGGTGTTGAAGCTGAAATAAAATCTGTCTCGCTGTTTATTGAAACTGATATGCTCATGTATTTTGCCAGATTCAGCAGCTTTGACTAACCAGCTCATGCATACAGCATTAGCAAATATAAGCTGTCACTAACGTGTATGCCTGTGTTGACTTTGTTACCTTGTAATCCATTTTGAGTGCTTTTTCTTAGGATTGCCTTTTAATCTGGTGTTCCTGTGTGTTTTTATAGCAGACAAATCTCTTTTAAGTTACTGGGGAAACATTTCTTTCCTTCATTAACTAAACATTAAAAGCTACAGGCAGGAATGGAGGTAGGAGTTGAAAAAATTCAATGAGGCATTATCTAACTTTAGATGTTCCAATGCAGGATAGAAATCTGTGCCGTCTAAGTGATGTCTAAGATTCCCTATACACTTTGTGGGAGACTGAATGACTTCAGCATGTGGTCTGAAACATGAAAATGCTGATGAAGGAACTTTCTTGGCAAAGTCAACAGCAAAATTCCCTACCCCATGCTACTCTTGAAGTGCCTCAACATGAGCTGCAGTTAGTTATCTTCACTAGCTTGAACATAAAGGTTAGTATTTTCTTTGGTGGAAAGACAGCCACAGTCATTTTTTAAAATAACTGAATGGTGTTCTCTGTTTTATGGCACCATCTTCTGGTGTTGATGCTGCTTTCATCCATCTTCTGTGTTCCTAGCATGGTCTGATGTCTAGCTCAGAGTACCAGGATGTGATTCCCCACAACAGCCTCAAAAGGCTGAGCCCATGCCTATCCAAGTAGCTCACTCTTGACCACACAAGCAGGGGAGACAGCCAGGGAAAAATGTTCCTTTTAAAGAATTCAAGACTCACTGTGGCATGACAGAAGTAGAAACTTGGGCTTTACAGCCTTGTAGCTTCACAATGCATAAGGAAGAGCTAGTCCTGTGTACTTGTTTCAGAAAATATTCACACCTTTAATTTGAAATTATTGTTAGATAAAATGCATAAACAATCTTCAAAGAAAATACTGGAACCCAGCATTCTCCCTTTCAGATGGGAGTTCTGTAAGGCAAAAATTCATGCTTTCTCCCTCTAGCCAACTCAGCCTTCATTTCTTCACTTTGGGATGTCCCAGTTCCATTGGAAAGAGGATGAAGGCTACATCCTTACCCAAAATGACGTGTCCTGGGAATCCTGTCAGCAATGAGACTTAATTTTCCTTATCTGAGTATTGGATGCAAATGTTTTAAAATGTTTTAGTAATGAAGCTCTTAAAAAATACTGCTTTTTCTTCCATTGTGGTCAAAGGTTTTAAAGGTCTTTTCCAAACTAACTGGTTCTATCATTCTGTGTTCAGAAAACTGTGAAGCAGTTAGAGTATAATCAGGATCACAGGAATACAGATCATCCCAGCAGAAATTCCTTTATTTAATAACACCTAGATACAGACAGACTAATTTTACACAAAGAGTGGGGGGAATGTACTTTTCCCATTAAGCATTTTAGTCATCTCTTAAGAGAGAGCCTGTAAAATTGCAGAACACAATAGCCACTGAATATCTTGCTGCCTCTCAGAGTAACATACCTTCAGTTTCAAACACATTTTACATACTTGTTTGTGAGCATGTGTGTGTCTAAGAACATATATGAGATGGGTTTCTAGTGTCTAGATATAAGATAATTAGAAAACAAAAAGTTTCCAAGACAGAAGGTAATTTTTATTGTTGTCAGTCGAGGTTTAGTTAAATCTGAATTTAAATGGATCTCTTCAAATTCTATGATGCAGAGGGTTCACTGGTTTTTGAAGTCAGACTGAAAACCAGCACAGGTTTCATGTCAGAAGTAAATTTCCTGTATAATGAAATGTTTTTATCCAACATATTCTCAACAGTATTTTCAGTTTTAAGACTTCCCACTTCACAGTTTTAAAATTCAGAATATGAATACCACTTTGGTGAGAGTTAAGCCAGATACTGTAAAAATTGTTGGATTGCTAAAGGAGATCTTTTTGATGAAAAAACTAACCTCACTTTTCTGTTTCTATATTTCTGTCCGAATGCTGATTTAGTAATGACAGAACATTTGATTGCAAAACAAAAAGGACTTTCTTTGGTTTATACAGATAAAAAGGACAAAGGAAATCCATGTTGTAATAGTTGTTCAAGATTTCTAAGCCTTTCCCCAACAGAACTGCACACTTAACATTTTGCTCTACAATAATAATTTTAGGAGCTACCAAAGATCAGTTATCTCATGGTCAAAACTGGAGGTGAGTTACATTTAGTGATAATTCAAACAAAATTAACACTAATCACATTCAAAATAAAGTTAATTAATCAGATGCTATTATAACAAGACAATACATGAGCTATTCATGGTAACAATTGAATAAGAAATGGCAGTCCATTGCTCTGTGTTCATCAGAACCAGATTGTTACAAAGATTTAACAAAGATAACTCACTGGTAGTAAACAGAAGCTTAAAACTAGCAAAACAACTCAGCTATAGAGAGAAATCCAGAGCTCATAGCCACAAAGTGGGATCCAGAATGGTGTTTAGGGACCATGACTCCCAGGACAGTGCAAGGGGACAATTAGGCACTTCGGGTCTTGCCTAGGGACAATGAACAGGAAACAGATGATGAGATGGGTGATAGCTTCTCTCTTGAGAAGCAGGCACTTCAGCCCCAAACAAGTAACTTTCCCAACTGGGCATTCAGACCAAAAAATGCTTTCTGAAGTTACTGTATTCAAAGTGGCCAAACCTCACTCATTTCTTTTAGAAGCATATTGGAGGAGAAATTAGAAATGGTTTCAGCAACAGCATTTTGGAGTCAAAGCATTATTCCAGAAAGTCTTTTTATTTCTGAAGGGGGTTGTAATTGTGATCTTCTCCTACCCTGCAAATGCTTCACCATTAAACTCCAGGCAGCTTAGTTGTGACTGCTGCTTCAGGTACTTGGTACCTGGGAGCCTGGTGTACAAAACTGCCACATATGTGCTCTTTATCAGGTCTTTAAATGTTTCTGAGTGGATTTTTTTTATTTCTTCCAGATGAGTTGAGATCAGAAAGGGTGGGCTTCAAAGATTGCTTTTGTTGATACAGCATTTATACCAGTGTTATGTGCATCTAAAAATGTAGGAAATGTACAGCTCAGGACAGATCTGTGAATCTACACAAATAAGAGATACCACAGTTTTACCATTTTTTACCCCTTTTTTTTCAGCTTTTGAAAGGCTTAAAATAAGCTAATAAATATAAAAAAATATTTAGTATGCTTAACTACAAAATTCCATAATTTATAGTAGTTTTTCTAATATATATTTTATTATCACATATGTACAACAGGCTGGCTTTCAGGAATACCCTTAAAAAGCATAAGCAACAGAGTTCATTTGTGACTTTTATAATGGGCCATAAATGTTTCAGAAGAATGGTCTGGCGAGGGACTTCTTGACTCATATTTTGTTCTGCAGGCTCTGAAAACAAAGAATGTGCATGTATTTAACAATAAACTATCCAGATTTTGGTTTGAACTTTGGCTTAATTGAAATAAGTGGCAGAATTCCCTTCTTTTTATGATGAACATTGTGGTATAAAATGATCCCCTTCATTGTTATTAATGCATTTTTCTTTCTTCTATTTTCTGTATTCTTTAAATCTGAATTTTCTTTATATGCTGATATTCCTGTGACTGCAAACCTAAAGAGAAAGCCTCTGTTCCCATATATCCTTGACTTGCCTTTTGCATTTTTCTACAATTCCTCTTTGATCTGCCTTGGAATTTAATAATGAAATTTGACCCAATATCCCTCCCACTATATATAGCTCCTGCTACATCATGTTCTGTTACCTATCATCTGACAGTGTAATTCTTGAAATCTGGCCATTTAATTTGGTCCAAGAAAATGTATCATTTAAGAAAAGGCCATGTTCATTTAACTAAGTGAATGCACATTTCTTTTTTCTTAAAGCACTGGTGTATGGGCAGTTTCCCATATGGAGGGAGGGACAGAGGGAGAGAGGGGGGGGGAAAGGATGGTAGGGATGGTGAGTGTTGTTTACAGACCCCTATGAGCAAAAATGGCATTTGGCAAGAATATTAACTACAATAGCAGCATTCACAATTTGGTTTCTAAGTATGTTATAATGCTGAATATTCTCATTTCCTTTTTGCATTACCCCTGCCTGTTACGGGGCTAGGAAGGTAGTCTTACAGAATTTTTGAATTCAGATTTCACCTTTCCCTGCCATGGGACAGGAAATGAAACCTCCTAAAGCCTGGGATCTCTGCATGAATGGAGGGCATTGTAGATACATATCATATTTCACTCTTCCCTGCTGACACCCACAATGTCAGTTCTTTCCACCACTGGGGCATGCTGGACTGTTTTTAAAGACAGTCACAATGTCCACCTTTAAACTAAGTCAAAACGGTTTATTTTCTGTTTTTTCACTTTTCTAGAACCAGTGATTAATATCCTTATCAAATTACCTGATCTTTAGGAGAGTCAACAGGACTATTCCTAGGATGAGAGCTATGCAGGAGGAGTAAGCAATAATGTAGACAGTTTCACCTAAAAATAAAAACAGAAAACAGAAATGAAATATTTGCATTTTTAGTAATAGGAATCAGACTTGAGATCTGTATTGGAAATCATACATATGTGAGCTAAATTAGTTATAAATTTTGACAAAAGTACTTAAAAAGAGGAAAAAGACCTAGATGTATATCAGTGGTAGGAACAACTCTTCCTTTGCCATTTGATGAAACATAATTTTCAGACTTCTTTTAATAAATACCAGCTCCAATAGCACTTCATATGTATATCAGTGCCTTTCACTGTTGCAGGGGAATAGCTTGTTACTATGATTTTTAAGTATTCTCCCTACTGATTTAAAAATGTCAATTTTATTCTGTGTGTCAGAACAGACTTAGCTCTTACTTATCAACTAGACTAATTTCCCTTTTTCACATATTACTGTAATTACAGTGTGGAGCAATACTCCACCTAGAATCAAATTAACTTAAAATGGGATCTAACCCTGTTTTTCTGGGCCCCATTCCCATGGAGTTTCCTTTTTCTGTTAGGCTTCTCACCAAAAAGTCACCTAGGTGACTTATGTGCTAAAAATTCCAACTGTTGAAAAACTGGGAGCTGTTTCAAATTTTCCAGAGGAGGAGTAACTTTTTTTCCTGAATCCGTTGGTTTTGATCAAATGTCTTAAGGAAACATTTTGGTTGAGAGTGTAATATAAGCCCTGGACACGAGATGGAGAGGTGTGGAGGTTAGATGATTTCACAAGTGGCCACAAATGCAGAGCCACAAGCATAAAACACGAGACCTTTCTGTGACTTCCCTGTTGCACTGATTCTTTGTACAATCAGATAAGTTTTGTTTATATAGGAATTCAAATGCAGAGAGCCGTAACTGCTCCTGAGCTTCTCCTTCTTGCATAGCCAATGAAACATTTACTAAGATAGAGATGGATTCCTGGACTCATCATTGAGACACTTACCTGGGCTGTGAGAGGTCATATTCTGGTCTCTGATTAAGCTATCAGCTATTATATGTTCCATGTGTTATGTATATGCACAGAACCCCCAATGATACATTTCTGTGTACACTGCATACATGCAGCAGGTGTAATGTATCATCTAATACAAGCACAGGTGGTATGGATGCTGGAGCAGCCCCAGGAAGAGTGAATATGTATTCCACAGCAAGGAAAACAAGGAGCTGAGCAGGGCATTGGACCTGCCTGGCTTTTGTTGTAGGATGGTGCTCATTTTTTCTGTGAAAACTATCCCAAGATCAAGCTTTCCAAGGTAAAAAAATTAAAGCAGTCAATGAACCACCACAATCTGCACAAATGGGATGAACATTCCATTTAATCCAGTAACGTGCTGGAAAATACTTAATATGCTGAATCTTTGAAGAAAGAGGGGTGAGGTCTATCTTAGAGAAGGACTTCTAATAACATATATTAAAAACTACATCAGCAGTTTGCCTAACTCCCAAGTTACAACATTTCTTTCAGATGATGGGTTTTAGTGAAAGAGTAATTTGTAGGCATTTTTTTCAGTTTCTGAACCTTAATTGTACATGCAGCTATTTTTTAAAACTTTTTACAAATGTAGGAGAAGCTGTTTCTTACTTTTTTGAAGTGGAAAGTGACTTTCACACATATTTTAAACAAATGGAAACTTTTAAAGTATGTCACCACAAAAATTATTATAGCTAACAAATTATAGATTGTACAGTCATGGATGGTTAAAAATGGGCTAATAAATTTTCAGCAGAACAGTGTTATTTTTTTTTTATAAAATTTGTAAGAGGTACTTCATTTCAATCAAACAAAACATTGAAATGACCAACTGAAACCTTTTTTCTGTTTTTTTGACAAAATCTGAAAAAATGCTACTTTTTTGGTGAATAGCTGGTAAAAGAAATGTTGATTCAGTTTTATAGGGAACAAAGAGGGATTTTGGTGAATCTTACTCTATTGTAGATCTACCTGCTTACGTATAGCTAATGCATATTCAACAAACATTAATCCCAGCCTCTGCTCAGAGGTTTCCTGGCTACCTGCAGCTTGTCACAGGCTTTTTTCTACAATTATAGAACTGTCAGACTGACAGTGTTTGATACCTTATAAATTAAAGTCACTGGAGCTGAACTAATCTCAGTTTCCACAGCAGCTGGTATACTTACAGATAAAACCCACCAATTACTTGGTTATCTAAGTACTCAGCGCAGCAAAACTCCTCAGTAGGAAATATATGATAACACTAAAATCTAAGACAAAATTTTAACCATTTTGGGTCAAGCCCAATTTTATTGTATCTCACAAGAACAGGGCGAGTGTTCTGTATTTCTAGCTTCCTCTTCCATAGAAAACCCACAACTTTGCCTCAAAGCTCCATGGTGATAAAAGTAAATCCTTGTCTTCTCACATGAATAATTTTTCAAACTAAAGTGCAGGAAGCATTCTATTAAATTACTTGGATCTGTAAATCCATTGATATAATTTGCATAGGATAAAGCCAAAACCAGGCTGAATACATATAATTAGGTAGGCACATTAGAAGTTTGTATAAATTTTACTTGATTTATCACTTTTTGAAATTGTTTCCAAAATGAGATCAAATTCAAGCTTACAGGAAAAGCCTCATTAACTTTTGTATGATTCTGACTCTGCCCACACCACATCTTGTTAACAGAGTTGTATCAGCCCAAAGATGAGTCTGTTGGCCTGTTCCCTCCTGAGAATGTGTTTAAATCTAGTAAAGATTTTTACATAATCCTGGTATTGCATTTTTACACCCAAAGCTGGAATAATAATTTTTCAACTTCCATTGTTCTATTTATTTACAAATGTATTTGAATATATATATATGCTTAAATTTATTTTTTATTGTGAAAGACTCCTATTAAAGCAATCTTATCCAATGGGATGATTTTCAATTCTGCTAAATAAAATAGAGAAATCTGTGTTTTTTGAACAGTAAGCTATATTTTAAAGCATAGAACTAAGAAAAAGCTGAAGACATACTGAGTTTCTTCTGAGCATGTTCATCTGTAGACACCATTAATTTCATCTGGTGAAAGAGTTCCTTGTATCTTTCAATGAAAAACTAACTAAATGATTCTTCTGAGATTTTAATGTGGAGATATCAGCAGATTTTATCTCATGTTTTTCAAGCAGAAAATAGCCAAGAAGCAAATATCTTCGAAAGTCTTCACACATGTGAAAGGCCATATTTGACAGGTTAACTGCTTTGCCTCTGTGCCCTGAATTCTTCTTGGGATTTGATTTCATTAAAGATAAATATTTTGTGAAGATGCTAACTCCCTTTGCAGCCTGAGTGAAGCATATTTATTAGCATATGAATCTAGGACACCGAGTTAGATTTTTGGCAGTGGGATTTATGAAACAATTTGCAGTATGGTTTTTACCATCAGGCAGATATCCTGAATCCAATTCTTCTTCTTGACCTGGCTTCCTATGAGACTTTTATGGCTTAGAGTTCCCATCTCGTGTACATGACAGCTACAATAGAAAGAGTATTTTATTGTATGGTTTAGGCTGGTCAGCATTCTTTTTATTTTTCTAAAGCCATCCAAAGTTCTGTTAAGACTTCAAGGAAAGGTTTTTGGAAAGTTTTCAGGCTTCAATGTGAACAGAATTAACTGGGTGCAGGCTGCTTCTTGCAAATATTTATCTGAATCTCTGAGTGAAACATAGAATACATTTTACCCACCAAAAAGGTTTACATTAGAACTAGTCACAGGGGTGCAATATCTCACATTTTGCATTTTCTCAGTGTAGAATTTCTTGTATTATGACTTGCATTATTTAACCACTAGGGTCTTGTTCCAACTAGGGATTCAAGCTCCCTCTGTAATTGGCAAGGAGAAGTCAATACTTTCAGTAAATGCAATCCAAAAAGATTGGACTACTCTTCCTTTGAGGGTCCCTGACTTTCTTCTCTGGCTACACAGAGCTCTTGGATGACATTCATGATTCTTAAGTAACTTTAATGCTAACATTACAGCCAAATGCTTAATTGCGCACATACAGGTCTCAGGAATCTCATTCCCTTAATCCATTTTTTTATCCTTTTTATCCCTTATCCAGGTTGCCCACTTCAGGAATAGTTGAATAGTTGACGGAGAGGTTAGAAGTCACTTTATTTTCTACTGCATGCAGAAATTGAATTATTTTTTTCACAGTTAAAAGTGTTCTGTATGAACAGTTCTGGGAACTAATTTGTAGTATTGTCTGGAGAATTGTAATCTGCCCTGCACAAGGTAGAACAGGTCACTCTCATTAGAGGTGATATTTGTGCATTAAGCTCTTTAGTGTTCTCACTCTGTAATTGGGCCCCTCAAAAGGAAATATAAAATAATATTATTTCAGCAATGAAAACATTTGTATATTAATTCAATATCCTTTAACTTTATGTTGCTTAATTTCTTACTGTAAAGGTATGGAAATAAAAATAGATGCAGCTCTTCAGCCCATGGGATACTGTGTGCCCTTCTGTTGTTTAAGGAGGTGGAGTCTGATGGAGTGTAACACAAACCCCTTCTCAGACCACTTACTGTGGCTTCTCATTTTGTTGTTGTAACTACTAGAGCAAGTCAAGAGAGATTGAAGTAGGTGTGACACCAAAAATAATAATTTGTATTACACATTATGACTGCTACTCTCTAATGACTGTACAGATAGTCAGGCTCTGGCAGGCTTAATAGCTTAATTTTCCCCAATTATAGTACAGTGATTGTGAGACATCTATTTCAAAGCCATTTATCAGAGTAATTGGTTCAGTCTGATTAACTTTATTTTGTGGATATATAAGTTAAGGCAAACAGATAGGGAGATTTCCAGACCAAATGAATGAGCAACAGGTCGAGTCCACTTGCCTGAATCCACCCAGGTCTCTTCTATCATACATGAGGGATATCTCAAGAGCATTGCTGTAGAAATCATGGAGTGACTTGCCCAAACTCACCATTAATTGCAGAAGAATGGAGCTGTGCTCCAGAAATCCTTTCCCCTGGCATTTCTGTATTTACCCAGTGAAAACCTTTCTTCCGAATAGAAATTTGACCTGGATATTGGAAAGAAAATATCCATTCAAAATATTACTTTAAAATAATAATATAAGTGAATATTGTTTGATACTTTGATAACAGCCACAGAATTTATAAAGGGAGCTATTCAAAAATACTGTTTACTGGTAGTTGAACAAATTGACTGAATGCATAACAGTTCTTCCTGTTCCACCTCAGTTTTCCTTATGGATGACAAGCTTTGAAAATATTCTCTGCAACAAAACAGCTTAAATTCTCTTTTCATATAAACTGTTTTAAAAATAGGCCCACCAAAAGAATTGTGTCCACCAAACCAATATAGAATATAGAATTTCCACACTGAAGAGTTTATCCTCCAGCTGCAATTCTAGACATCAACAATTTTTTTCACAAGGGCCTGTTGTCTCAGTGGGCATAATTTCATGAATATACCTGAAAATACATATCTTCTGTTGAAATGAAAAATAGGAGGTTTACTTAGGTAGTATAGTTTACAGAGTAGGAGCCTAAACCATACAAGGATATGTTTGGTCAATCACATGAACAGAAAGCTGAGAAATTTTGTAATATAAGAAAGGCTTACATTTGCAGCTTGGAACATTGTCCAAATAACAATGGACTAAATCTACCTGTAATTTGTTTTGGTTTTTTTCTATGAAATCCAAAAATACAATTCAGAGATAAAATATTTTGGAAACTTAGATTTTTTTCTTTCCCTCACTGACATTTTTGCTTATTCCTGTTGAGACACTGATCCTACATTGGCAATGATTCAACTGTGCTCCTGCTTCATACAGCAGCAGTCACAATTCTTGCCTTTTTACTGAGTCTGCAGCAAATGCAATCCTGTGAGCACAGCCTCCAAAGCAAACACCTGCAGCAAAGGCAATGCCATGCAAGAGTAGGAAGACGACATGGTGTAAGCACTGCTGGTGGGTCTGTTCACAGCAGTTCTGGAGGCAAAGACCCCCTTTCCAAATCCTGTGCATTTGCCCATTCAGAAATGTTTCAGAGTTTAAGATCATTGCCATTTTAAGAGTGAAAGTCTGCCAAAGATCACCACCAGGCCAGAGGAATAACTCAGCAGATGGGGCTGGGTGGGTGCTGCAACAGAGTAGTCACTCTGTACACATCTCTGTACTGCCACACAGAGAATGGCATTAAAAACATCCTTTATAATAAAACCCATAATCACCACCATCAGTTTAGCTGCACTACAATTAAATATCTAGGGGGAAAAAACCAAAACAAAACAAAAGCAATAACAATAAGCTGCAAGTGTTCAGTGGAGTATGTACTGATCCACCAAAGGCTCTGGATCCCTGTATTTTTTGTTTAACCACCAGGAAATTGTTGTACAACACAAGAAATATGAGCTTCTGTTCTTCAGCCCTAATTAGGTTAGGGAAGTTTCAATCACAAAAACCCTCAAACCATTTTATCCTGAGACTGCTTCAGGGCATGGCAAAAGCTCGTCAGCAATTATTTGATTATTCAGACATGAGGATCATTCTTTTGCTTTGTAGGTTAAGAAACAACTAGCATGGTGATGTGTTCAGTTGGACTGTTAAATTCAGCTCTAAAGCAAGCAAGGAAATAATATTCATCAGCAAAATCACTGCTAGAAGTCTCAAGTCTAGCGGTGTTACATTATCACTTTTCCAGGGGAGTTGTTATAAGATTTTTAGTATTTTCTCAGAGACTGGATTTGAGTAATGATTAACTAAACTAAGACCAGTGTTTCAGCAACTTGATTTTAATTTTTGGATAGCCTTTGAGTGACATGAAAAAAAAAAATTACACCCTTATCAGTGGGATAGTTTTGGTTTCTAGAACTAAAAGAGTATCCACTTCATTCAATGAAATGCATGCACACAATCTATATATGCTTTCAAAGCACTGTCCATCAGATAAAACTATGAAATAACCATTTCTTTTCATTGAAATCTTTAGGTATTGTCACATCTCCAGGATAGTGTAAGAATGCATATAATTTTAGAGTATACATGTAGAAGCTGGCATAGGGCATGATGCACTGGCGAGTAACGTATCCTAAGAGGATTCAAATTGCAAAGTAGTGGGTGTGATAAGTCAGGGATTTGAGGAGAAGAGAATACTTTTGGTCTTTGATCTGGTTGATGGATCAGATGTCTGCATGCAGCTGGAGCACTGCAAAGGCTGCAGATGAACCTCCAGGTTCAGTTTATGCTGCAGGAGACCAGGAATCGCCCTATGATAGAGAACCATCCTGTGATATGACCCATGGCACAGTAAGTGGGGACAGAGGAGCTTTGCTTTGAAGGCACTTTGCAGATTCACACTAAAACATTAATATTTGCTTTCATATTGCTGTTTATTGCATTAACAATTCTCTTAACCAAAGGCTTGGCAAGGACATGTATCTTTAACAAAAAATAATTAGCTAATTAAGCACATGAAAGCCATTACTGGTTCTGAGAAAGTACCTATATTTCATTTCAATTTAACCCAGTTTTTTTACTGAAGACCAAATCCTAAAGCCTACTTTAATCATTTGAAGCTATTTTCTGCAGAATGAATTCTGTTGCTAAATACATGTAAGGTTTACTAATATTCAGACTCCAAGAAGAAAAGAAAGAAAAACCAAATGCTACTTCATATTATTTGTAAAAACAGTGTACCAAAGTACAACATTAAGTCAAGATCAAGAAGGCTTTGGACTATTCCAATCTGCATATTAAAACAGACTCTAGAAATTACTTCTTTATTTCAGAAAATTCAAATAATGAGACATGTATGGTTTACTACTATTATAACTTTTTCCCCAGACCAGAGGAATAAAACTATGTGTCCAATTTTTGTTTTGATTTGGGTTTTAAAAAGCCCTCATCTGTAGATATCACTGAAACCAATGGTAGCAAATATATAGTAAAGATTTGATGCAAATCAGCATCTTAATTCTCTTTAAAACTAATTATTCTGTAAAGCTGTAAGCATTACTCACGTAAGTCACTGAAGCAGGATTTGCTGTGCAGCATGTGATGGAAGAGCTCACACAAAGGCTGCTCCACAGGAGGCAAATTCTGGCAGGTGCACTCCATGTGCAACATCGTGCCCCAGTTGCTGATGTAGGCTTCTTTGCAATCAGCATTGGCAGAACAGGGCATGTCATCCCTGATTAAAGTTTCAAGACAAGCTTCATCATTGTAGCATTTTTTTGTCACATGTCTCCAACACTTTGACCGAAAAGTTGTGTATTTTTTCCTGGTAGGGGTAAAAAAAACAAAAAGAAAAACAAAAGAAGTGTACAATGACTCTTCAACAACTGTGATTTCATAAAAAGACATTTAATGAATACCACTGAAAGAGAGTGTATTCCCAAGGTAGCATTTAAGCCTTAAAAATCGCAATATTCAATGATAGCTGATATAAGTTTTGCTCTGATTTTGACAAAAAGCAACTGCACTACCAGAGTCCAGTAAAAAAACAGTATGAATTCCAACAGTATCAGATATTCAGAGAAGAAATATGAATATAGGAATTAGACCAGTCATCACAATAAAACTACAGCAGGTGCTGTTCTAGTGGATCAGTTTTTGAGCAGTGTGAACAAAGAATAAACATTCAGCTTATTTTGCATTAAATAATCTACATCCAATGTCAACCCCTTGGCCACCCAAATACTAAGAAAATACAAAATGTCCAAGGCTCAGGAAAAAGTACAAGTAATTCAGTAAACTTAAAGATGAATTGATAGCAGAGATAAATTACATAAGTAATTAACTTGTCACCAAGTTCAATAATCTCAAATTATTTCTGTTTTTTTGCTGTTAGGATGGAATAAAATTGGCCTTTAATGCACTGTATATTACAACAGAAAATACCCATTATAAATTAACTAAAAAATATGTAGATATTAATTAAAAACAAATCTATGTCGTTAAATTTTAGAGGATGATAAAGGTAAAGTCTAGTATATTGGACATTAAGTTATTAAAATATTCTTCCTTAATCATATAGATATGTTATTAACTTGCTGTTGATATTGTGTACACAAGCATGTCACATGGAAAAGTGTGGACTGTTGCAATACAGGCTAGAAAATTTTTGTAAATATTTTCATTCAAAAATAAAGGTTTCAAAGCAGATTCCACCTCTGCTCTAATGGAATTATTTTCATTCACTTCATGATTTATGGATGTGACTAGCCATAATTCACAGACTAATTTTGCTAATTGTATGCATTTATTGTCAATGCCAGAGAAACGTTGATGTTCCCAAAATGATGGGGAGTCCAGCCATTATGACCTTACATGTACAGACATACATTTCTAGGCCTTCAGTTGATCTCATCGACAACAATCTGAATAATCTGCACAAACCCAAAACCATCTCTTGGCCTCCTGGTTTATTGACTGAAGGTTAATTTGAGCACAGTTTGAGGTAAAATTCAACCCTAATCCACAAGGTGACTACACTGAAAAACAAAATGGGCCAATTGACCATCCATAAAAGGAGGCAACGAAGTTGAACTACAAGTATGGGTAATCCTGTTGTATGTTTTAAAAATATAAAATGAAACTTGAAAAGGCATTATCCTTTATGAGTTTGGTGGTCTGTGCATGCTTCAGGCCAGATTTTTGAAAACTTTTTGCAAGTATCCTTGAGATGAAGACAATAAGACAGAAGTTTTTTGAACAGGCCAAATTGGTTGCATGGCAGTTGAGTACAAAGGGTCAGACTCTGCTCTTGAAAGGTAATTACTTTTACCAAACAAACTTTGTCTGGTCTGTGGCACACCTTGTGCAAATTGCTGGAGGGCAAAGGTGCAGACAGGCAGGTGTTATCTGAAGAAAGTGGTAATGAAAATATTCAATAGCATAGTTTGTCCAGCAGAAATGGTGTTAAGTGTCATGACACAGGCAGAAGAAAAGCCTACATTAGTTTCCAAACCTTTCCGAAAATTAATCATTTCAGTTTACTTGTGGTATTCTGGAATTACCACAGTTGGTGCAAACATCTGTGAAGATGTCAAACACAGCAGATACAGTACAGAAAATAATTTTGTTATAGCTGAGATATAAAGAGTATAATAAAAATGGTTTGACCAAATCATTATTCAAAAGCACCTTAGTGGACAAAATACTCACCTGCACGATTCATTCTCTTCGCACATGCGGATTACATTCAGACATGATGGGGGTGGAACTACAGTAACTGCACAGGGCTTGCCATGGAGAAGTTCTTTGGCTCTGTGGCAGGATTCATCATGCTGGATGCAGTCACAAAATATCATCATTTGGGCAACTTCAAAAGGCATGTTTCGATAGAAGAACCTTATGGCTGCTTGACATCCTTCCACGTTGCATTTCTTATTTACTGAGCAAACTTTAAGGTATAGGGACAACTGTTTGTTACACACTTCATCTTCAATGCACTCCCTGTTCACATCCAAACAGCTTCTGTTTGTTGTGTACACTAAAAAGAATAACAGGTTTTAAAATAAAATCTCAAGAGGATGTTTCTCAAGTGATAACTGGTAGGTATCCTGTCTACAACATTCCCAGTAAATTAAGCTTGATTCCCAAAACTCTGACACAGCTCATCTAGCATTGCTGCTTTTAAGCCTAGTGAGTAACTTCACGCTTCTTTCTTGCACTGCTTGGTGCCCACAAGCCACCCTCCTGAAACTGCTGAAATCTCCAGTGTGCAGTCTTATGCTAGGCTATGTAATAAGTAATGAAGAAGAGAATATAAATGACATTTTTTTGCTATTAATATCAGTTTAGATATTTCCAAACTCTGAAATAAATCTTCCAAAAATATCTAGAAAATTCTAGACCCTAAAATGCTTATGGGATAAGATTTGCCTCTGTAAATTTGACAGAATTATGATTGTTACCTGATTTATATTTACATTACTTGATTGTTACCTGTTACATTTTTGGGTTCTTCTCTATCCAGTACCTTAGCTGAAAATACGTTGGATCTGTTAACTCCCTGCTCATCCATTTGAATGAAAAGGATTAATTTTAATCTGAAGGTACATTGTATACTGTCTGAAAACAGAGATAAAATTATTTATTAGGATTCATCAGTAAATTCAGCCTTACCTTGTTTGGAGAGAGCAGATGAACCCCATTGCAATTTTGTTTCCATACTAATATTGTCTAGAAGAAAAAGATAGAGAAACCGGCATAAACTGTAAATAATATCTTAGCTTTTTAACACTTAAGTATTGTCTGTCTTGCTGGCATAGTGCCAGGAGTGAAAATAAAAGGATAAAACAAATTGGTTTGACCAAACAGAACCCACTAACAAATTCTAAACCCTCTATTACATACATTCATATGTTTTAGGGTCAAAGCACAGTTTACCAAAGGCTGCTGCTAATGTTTTTTACATAATTATAGAACCTATGAACTCAAGAAGAGTTTTTTAGAGCTTCTCAGTGCATTATAAAGTCAGATTTCTTGTGAATAAATAAAAGCCAGAGGCCTTAATGTGTTTATCAGTGGACCAGTTTCCAAGTTCAACTAACTACTTGTCATGAACTAAAGTCAAGGCTGGCAGACAATTTTTGCTATTCAAAGATTATTTTTATTGATCTTATGCTGTGTCTAGTTATAGTGAAATATTAAAACTGGCTGATTTAGATCAGATTGTATCAAATTAACACATTGGATGACAACAGTATTTGCACTCAGACTATCATTTTCTTTCAGATTATGAATTTATTTATAAATAAATCTCCTAAAATGATCTTGTTTTCAATGTTGAATTGCAAATGGGCAAGAAAACCTTTTTTTTGTAGACTGTGGACACTACTGTTATGTACTAAACATTCAGACTGCTGGAATAACACTAACCTGTGTCAGTGACCAGATTTTTCTCACCATCAGCATCAGCATTATAGTCATCATCACTGCCATCACTTTCACTAGCTCCTGAGGCTTGGCTCTCCTGAGAGTATTGTAAACACGGGTTGTTAAATATTCCCTTCCAGATCTTAATGCATCTCGTCTGAAGAGGCTCTGAGCACGTGCACTTTCCCAGAACTGTTTTCCTCAGTTCTTTCCAGGCTAACAAACACTTTCCAGGCACGGGGAAGCTGCAGGTGTCTGCAGCTGCCTGGCAGGCGCGCTGGAAGCTCCTGTACGCGGCAGAGCAGCGAGGTTCTGCTCGGCAGCGCTGCTCTGCGCTGCTGCAATCGCTCTCCAGCTCCTCAGAGCTTTGGTCTTCAGGGTTTCTGTGCTGCCAAACACTCAGTTCAGTGTCTGACCTCGAGAAAGACTCCAAATAGTCTGTAGAAATAGGTACAAACACAGTTATAAATCAAATGGACGATGGATAACTGGAGTGTGAATATCATAGAAAAGACAAAACTAATTTTTGGGGGGCATTTATCAGACTTGAGAATATGCATCATCACAGCACAAAAATTCAGGGAAAGGGTACTTGTCTCAATGAGTGATACAGCCCTAGTTTAATTCTGAGCTGTGTGTCTTTACATAGTAATTTCAGAGTCTCACAAACTAATGAATCTTCCTCATGTTTACTAGGTGCTGTTAGCTGTATAGTACAGTCCACTCTAACAGTCCAGCTGCAAAACAGTAGTAAAAATATTCCCTAAAATTATTGCATAAAAAGTTTAGCTTCACATAGTTTTAACCACCTTCAGTTTTGACATATCATGGATTATGATTTTAAGCATAATTTTTTTTAATGCATAATTTTAAAAGAGAGAATGACAATTCCAGAAGATGCTTGATTCATTACCTAAAATAGTAATTTAAGTTAGACAGAGAGAATTGCTCCTGAAAGTGCATAGCAACACCATATGCTGTCCTTTGTAGGTAAATTCAGCACTAAGTCCATCCAAACTTATTTCTACAGTGAAGATAAATGTAATCTCAGTTGGCAAAAGAATACATTACGTCTTTTTGCTAGAAGCAAAAGCAAGTGCTCCAATGACATCAATATCAGGTTTCAGATATCCATCCTTCTTGTTTAGGGCAAGGAGTTTGGGGCAGATCAGGGTGTTATTATTCCCTCTGCAATAAGGCCATATATTCTAGTACTATATGATGAATGCTGTGTGATGCCAATAGGGTGTGATGGATCAGTGCCAGGAATCACTTTGAAACTCACTTTGCAGGCTCTCATTCACTGGCTGATTTTAGCTCTCTTGTGTCAGCTTTGCTAATTATTATGCCAAGGAGACTTTGGACAAGAAATTGCAATTTCTTCATATACCAAGTAATTCTCAATTACAGAGATAGGTTTTCTGCAGGGATAAGAGTTTTCAAAAAGAAAAAAAAAATAAAAAAAAATTGAGGGGAGTGGGCCCATTGATCACCTGAGAATTTTTAAAAGAGTTTTTAAAATATTATGTATAGCTTTATGGAGGTGGTGACTATGTTTCACACATCAAGTAGCCTGTCCTAGATGTAGTGAAGGTCCTCCTGCAAATCAGTGTGACACGACTGCACCCCTGTGCATCCCCATTCACTCATTCTCCCAATCAGAAGGTACTGGATGTGTCTCTCTATATACACAACTTGGATCAAGTGGCTCTCAAATCTCCCTGGGCAATGAGTAGCCCTCAACACACACTGTGTATTCGCTCTTGCTTTCCAGTGGATTCAACAAGAGTTTTAGAAGCCATTTCAATTTCTCACAAATATTTTATCACTTTTGCTTGTGGCATTTCTTTCATATGCATGCTGGAGTGTGACTATCATAGAAAAGACAAAACTAATTTTTGGGGGCATTCATCAGACTTGAGAATATGCAAAGAAAGTTGAATCCACTTAAAATGATGGTTATAAAATTACTGGGTTTGGTCTTCATAATTATAACTTAATGCTTAGTTACCTTTACTAATGCTGCACCATTTCCCAAGCAAAGTTGTGATGCTACAGATATCATCTGTAGTGCAGACACAGTTTTTAAATTCTGGGTATTTGTCAGCCAGGACCTGGATTATTCTATTACATCCAACAGTGTCTTCTGCCTTGCATCTATTACCTAGAATGCACCATTAAAATTATAATTTCATTAATGTTTATGAATGCTTAAGCGATACGGTTACATAAAACAATTCAGCTGAAGAACAAAAATAACATGGTTTGCTAAGAGAAGATGGTTTGTCATATTTTAAAAAAAATTTAATAACATTCAAAGTAATATAATAAAGCTGTGGATACAATATTGACTTCTTTTATTTGATCTGATCCATTGCCAGAAGCTCTCATTTACAAAGTACATAAAACCTTAAACTCACACCTTTTATTTTAGGCAGGTAAGGCACTGAGACCAAACTAAAAATGTGCCCAGGAGTGGAAGGGGCACACACTGAACTGAGAGACTTATCTTGATCCTGTGTAGTAGAAACGAGGTGCCTGGTACAGGGACAGGAACACACAGTGCAGGCTTGAGGCATCACCATGTGATAGAGTGAGAGACAGGACACAGAGGGTAGACCCAGCCCCATGATAATGGTGATGAGAACCCCAGGCTGAGGACATGCCAGCTCTGGGTCAGATTCTCTCTCTCATGTGAGGATGGTGTGAGCCTACAAATGCCATTTGGATACTCCCTTGAACTTCTGCCCTATAGAACAACTTCACTGCCTAAGTGTGAGAATGACAACAAATTTAAAGTAGGCCAAGAGTAGTCTGATTTTTAGGATTTTTATAACAAAAATGAGGGAGAAGTTAACATAAAAAAAATAAATGTGCAGAAACCTTAATTTTCTGGCCCAGTTTCAAGTCTGTTTGCACATGCACTTGGACTCAGTGGTAGACATTCACACAGGATGTCTTGTTTTCCATGTACGGGTAGTGAAAATAAAGCACATGTACTAGTTTGTGGTACTGAGGTAAATCAATCATCCATCTCTTTATGAGCTAAAAGCTTTTCCAAATAATAATAATAATAATAATAATGATAATGATAATGATAATGATAATGATAATGATAATGATAATAATAATAATAATAATAATAATAATAATAATAATAATAATAATTATTATTAATGATGATGATGATGATGATGATGATGATGATGATGAAAGTGGGATCAAGTGCATCCTCAGCAAGTTTGCTGATGACACCAGGCTGTGTGGTGCAGGTGGCACGTTGGAGGGAAAGGATGTCCCTTGAAAGACCCTGACAGGATTGAGAAGTGGGCCGATGCAAACCTTATGATGTTCAATGAAGCAAAGTGCAAGGTCCTGTACCTGGGTCACGGCAATCCCCAACACACCTGCAGGCTGGGCAGAGAAGGGATTGAGAGCAGCCCTGCAGAATAAGACTTGGATGTGAAGGTGGATGAGAGACCCATCATGAGCCAACAGGGAGTGCTCACGCAAAGCCAGCTGTGCCCTGGGCTGCACCAAAAGCAGCATGGCTAGCAGGCTGAAGGAGGTGATTCTACAGCTCTGTTCTCATGAGACCCCATCTGGAGTGCTGCATCCAGCTCTGGTGTCCTCAGCATAAGAAGGACATGGAGCTGTGGGAGCAAGTCCAGGAAGCTGATAACAGGACTGGAGCTCTTCCCCTGCAAGGACAGGCTAAACAAGTTAAGGCTGCTCAGCCTGGAGAAGGTTGTGTGGAGACCTCACAACAACCTTCCAGCATCTGAAGGGGACTACAGGGAAGCTGGGCAGGGACTCTTAGTCAGGAACTTATCTTATGCTGTGTCACCAGCACCATAGGCAAGCTTTGATGTGACCAGAGTTTTAAAATCACATTGTTGACACAAATAGCAGTGGAAGGCAATGGAGGCAAAGCTCTGCAAGAGGAAACAGTGCATTTTGCCTTTTCCTGAAATAATGAGAATCAGCTATTCCAGGTTTCACATCCCTGTCCTGATCCCCTTTTTTCAGACTCTCGGTACTGCCCTTTCTCCAGTTGCTGACTAAGGAGGGTTTGGGGGTATATCAAATAATATGCTACTAGAGGGGAATGTCCCAGGCCAGCAAAAGCTGCAGGTCCCAGCCTCTGCTCCCACTCCACCTCCTGCATCAGCAAAGAAAGAGGTGATAGTGGCTGGGATTGCCTGTGTCTCTCCAACCCCATTTCCTTCTGCTTTTTCAGAAGCAGATTATGAGCTCTGACCCTTAGTCAAGGAGCTCACAAGATTTATCAAAGGCTTCAGACACAGGATACTCCCTGACCATAAAAATAGGATAGAAAGGATGTGGTGACACAGCCCATGAAGATGAGTGAGTGGATACTCTATTCTGTATTTTATCAGCTAAGTAAGGCATAATAAAAGAATTTCAGGAAATTCCAGTAGAAAAAGAGCAAAAAAGATCAGGAGGGGCTTGTGTAAAAATTAGCTTACTCACACAATTTATGATTGTCTTTTTCAGGGGCTGTGTTCAGTGTGTTCAGTGTGTTCAGTCAGGGGCTGTGTTCAGTGTGTTCAGTGTGTTCAGTCAGGGGCTGTGTTCAGTGTGTTCAGTGTTCAGTCAGGGGCTGTGTTCAGTGTGTTCAGTGTGTTCAGTCAGGGGCTGTGTTCAGTGTGTTCAGTGTGTTCAGTCTGGGGCTGTGTTCAGTGTGTTCAGTGTTCAGTGTTCAGTGTTCAGTCTGTGGCTGTGTTCAGTGTGTTCAGTGTCCAGTGTTCAGTGTTCAGTGTTCAGTCTGTGGCTGTGTTCAGTGTGTGTTCAGTGTTCAGTCTGTGGCTGTGTTCAGTGTGCTCAGTGTTCAGTCAGGGGCTGTGTTCAGTGTGTTCAGTGTGTTCAGTCAGGGGCTGTGTTCAGTGGTCCCCTGAGTCAGCCCTGATGGCTGGGGCTGGAGCAGAGGTTGTGGGGCTATGAACATGCAAAGGGCATAGACAGAATCAGGAAGTGCATCAGATTTATGGGGCTCCCTTGCATGTCTTCTTGAAAACTGTGTAGAAATAACCTATTATCAGTATTTCTCTGTTTGTACATGGTATTGATTCAGCTGTGACAAACAGCAGAAAATAATTTTATTACTGGTTTTCAATTATTGGTGCTTTACCAGAGATTAGTTCCAGGTAATATATTTTATCTTATACATATGCTTCTAAGGCATTTACAAAACAAATGCTCTCTCAACCTAATGTTTGGAAGCCATTATTCATAATTTGTTTTATTATTGTACATATTTTGTACATAATTCATGTACACAGGACCACAGACAGAAGTGTGACGGAGTAGAAGCTGACACTCCAGAGTGATAATCTCTGCTTTTGCTTAATCAGCTTTTCAGTCATCTCAGTGGGAATTGAAGACTACAGGGGAAAAGTCTGAGGTTTTCCTCTCTAGCACTGGTGAGATTACAGTTTGGATAGATCTCCAGAGATCCTTCCAACCCCAATGAGTCCTTTATCCTAAGAAAAGTAAACTCATCCAAATCTAATTCAAAATGAGATTCCTTAAAATTTAAGTGCTCTGAGTATTTTTTGTTTTGCTTTGAACACTTTTTTCTGTTTCCCATCTAGAAAAATTACGAAAATTTATACTTACGGTTAAATCACAGGTTAGAATTTATTTTTTTTTTACTGAAATAACAAAAAGAAAAACAAACAAATAACCAATCCCACAAACAAAGCATAAAAGCCCAAACCTTAAAGTCTTCACTCTGCAGTGCTGAAAGTCTTCTGATCTTTTCAAAATGAAAAATCTTATTTCATCAAAACTTAGTATTTCTATCTTCCCTATCCTGACCTGGAAGCTGATTCATAGAGATTTTTATACTCTGTTTTTTCTTTCCACCATGTTTTTGCCACAGAGGTGAAAGAAGGATTGGACTCTGAAGAGCACAAACTGAGGCTCTGGAAATGCTGCTGGAGTAGTGGGGGAGCAGCGATGGAAAATTTGACAGGAAAAGGAGGGACTTAGGCATTAGTTTGGAAAGTGTTCCCAGATCTGCACTGAAAAGCAAAAGATGGAGGCCTTAATGATGCACACATTTAACTTTGAGGTTACAGTCTGATGGACTGAGTTGTTGAACTTGTACCCCAAAGGAGTTTAATTACCATTTTTAGCTAGGTTTTGAATAAAGAAGCTAACAGAACAAATATTTATCCCATTGTCTATTGCCTCCAAGTAATATATTTGTGCTCAAAGGACATCTTCCATTCCTACAAATCATACATGAAGTTTCTAGACTTGCACATGACAGACAGTATAATGTTATTCACACTAATATGGTATTCTATTTCTATGTCTATTCTCTATTTTCTATTTTCTGTGGGCTGTCTGAGAGGTAGCATCAGCTGTCTGACTGGACTTACATGCTCTGGAATCATGGTACCTAATAAGCACATTTAGTATAATTCATCCTAGACCTGACACAATATCTGAGGGCTCTGCAATGCTGGAGAGTCTTTGCCAAAAGCTCTTATCCTAAGGAAATATACAGATGCAAATCCAAACAAGCAATCACAAGAATAATTATTTCTGGAAGGTTCCTCTGGCCCAGTTACAAATATCATTAATATCAGTGAATAAGTACATAGGACAATAAGAGAGAGAAATGTATTATTATGAGACAATGGTGTACATCCAAAGGAGAGCCACAGAAGTAATCATGCTGGCCCACTTCATCTGACTGCAGGGTATTGAGATTAACAGGCTACAGCACAAATATATATTTTTGTGACAAGTAGTTCTGGTGCTAATTTGTTCATGAATGATGTGAGAGAAGCAAATTCAGCTTGTTCTGTTTTGGTTCTAGAGAGCTCATCTTCAGGTCACTTGAGCCAGAAAGTACTGCATATTCCAATTTATTTTTCTTTTTCTAAACAGCAGCCATATCTTTTGAAACTGTTTCATAAATAAAATATTTAACAGATCAATAGAACATGGGCTGAAGACCAGCTGCTTAGGGGACTGTTGTAACTGTTATATTATCATGTATTTTTCATTTACTTCATCTGTTCTTAAAAGTATTCAGCCATTCTGTGCAAAGTAGATAAGTATCTGGGAAAGGACACACTAATAAAGACCTCTCAGAGAATTTTCTATTTTAATTAATTTAAATATTGTCTTGTGACTTGGGAAATTTGGGGCATCAAATACATGCAACACATCAGCCAGACAGAGGCATTTATTCAGGTAGCTCACACTGCAGGTGAATGTTTTAGCAATGGCTTATTGACCACGAAGGCAAGCAACTTCTGCTGCCTGGCTTCTTCCCAGGACTGTCAGACTGGGTCCTGGCATCAAGACAGGAACATTCACATGGTCACCTCTGCTGCAGCTAAGGCCCCAAACACATTATGGCATCACAACACAACTTGTTCTGTTCAAATAACGTCATCATCAGAAGAAGGGAGATTTCCAGTGAGATGTAGATAATTCTGATTCACCACTACACAGAGCCCATGAAAGGTAAACTTAATCAGAAAATAGTCCCTGGCCCTTAGCATTTGCTAGTGATGATGTAGTGGCAGATCACTTGACACTTAGCAATCAACAAAGGTGTCATTACTAGCTTGGTCTAATGACACTACCAGATTATAGTGCCACTCTTCTTCTCCCTTCTATATTCACAGCACCTGGATTCTCAGCATTTAACAGCAACGTCTTGGAAGGAACAACAGGCCTTCAGAGATAGGAACATTATCATTTGAACAACCACAGAGATTAGGATGAGTTTCAGGTCAAATTTATAATACCTGGTTCTTCCCTATTTAAAACATAGATTATTTTGAAACGAAGCACAAACTATTGGAAATGCAACAAACATAGACAGAGACTAATTATCTGCCTTCATTTACATGAGAATCAATTCAAGGTGGCCTAGTCATGACATGATCTGCATTTAATCTTGCTGCCACCCCCTGCAAGTGAATCACTGTGATGTGTTGGTACTTTTCACTGAATAAATACAGTGTGCTCCCCTACAATACAATTTTCTTTGAGGTCTTTTTTATTTTATTTGTTTCTTATTCTATTACAATAATTAAAAATTAGTCTAATTACTACATTGTTTTGAGTATTGTGTAAGATTATAGAACCATAGAATGGTTTAGATTGGAAGGGACCTTCAACCCCTCTGCCATTGGCAGGGACACTTTCCACCAGAGCAGGCTGCTCCAAGCCCCAGCCAGCCTGGCCTTGAACACTGCCAGGGAGGGGGCAGATCAACTCCTCCAAATTGTGTCAAACAAAGTCAGAAATCCTTTTCCAGTTGCACGCAGGCTTCATTTAACAGGATCCCACAAAGAGCCTAATTTCTACTGCATTCAGACTTCTTGAGTTGGTTCGGGCTCTGACTTTGATCATAGTGCAGAAATTTCATTTATCACTTTCTTGAAGACACAGTGTGACTCTTACTAAAAGTAGCACTGGCCATTGTAAAGAAGCTGACTGTCTTTTGCCATAATTGTTCTCTTTGAAATCTCACTGGCTTCATTTAGTTACCACAGCAATATTGTAATAAATTATGAATATGCAGCCATACAGCAATTCAAAATTAAGCTTTGTACACCATACAGAATTACCTGAAATATTGCAGGCATCTTCAACCAGATTCCAGACACTCTCACATCCATTTCCAGCATTAATACATTGCTCCCTCAAGTGCAGACAATCAGTAGTCTGGACAGTAGATATACACGTGAAGTAAATGAACAACACTGTAAAAACAGAATATAATGACTATTTAATGCAGCAGATACTGTACTGAGCCTTTTCCTTTACACATGGATTTAAAAAATATAATTTACCACAGTTTTTCTATATTTTCAAATTTGCTATCTAATAATTTTTAGCAGAACAAAGCTTTTCCTGAGTTTTGCAACTGGAAAATTAAACTTTAATGTTCAAAGTTTCAGTGTGGCATATTATGCATTGGTTTTACCCCAGTATTAGAACAGAAGCCATAGCTATACATGAAATCAGTGCACAGATATATAAAATTGCTACAGTTCTCATATCCATAATAAATTAAGAAAGGAAGACAGTAAAAAAATTAAGAGGAAACAGCATTTTATTTGCATTAAAACTCACCAAGCTAGGCTGTTTAGGAATTCCTATGAATAGAGTGTGTGAAAGAGATTTGATAACTACAGAACTGTTAGATAATAAATGTGATTTTATTTTATAAATACAGTACTCTTCACCCTCTTTATTTTTACTTCACAGATGCATCATTTCTTGAAAACAACCCCCACATTTATGTTTTTATCTGCTTTCCTGAATGCATTGAGCTTGTTAATTACATAAAGAAGTTCTGGAGGTTTCAAGGTAAAGAGTTTTAAAGCAGCACTGCTTGTGAATTATCAGTAGAAAATTAAATTGCCTTGTAAAGAAAGGATAAATCAGCCAGAGTTTATCTCTTTCATTAACATTCCCATGGTAAGACAACCTCTAATTTGTAATCATGTGTCTTTCTATAAAATTAAGTTTCAGTCACTGATTTCAGGCCTTATCAAAACTACCTGCTGAACACCTGATGTGTTCTCTTTAGTTGTTGAAGGACACAGCACCTCTCTGACAAAATACCTCCCCCCCTCCCCACCTCCCTGCTTCATGTTCGGGTAAATTCATATGAAATTTGAGTGGTTTCCAACGTTGTTTAATCCCTTAAACAACATGTGCAAGAGGCATGAAATATTGCTTCAGGATTTGTCCAGACCCTATCAAAAGAAATTAAATTTTTCCAATGATACATTTTAGAATAAGAAGTTATATATCAAATATCCCTCTTGATAACCTTAAAGACCCACTACAGTTGAGAGGTGATGCCATCCCTTCTGGAAATGATTTACCAGTGACCCAATAATGCTGCTGTAGGGAACACTTTCTGGATGCATGTCGATAAATATGAAGCAACGTTTAATACTTTATAACTGACAGGTGCAACAGCATCTAGTGTGCCTATGAGACAAAGAAGAGGCTGCATGTACTTATTATAGCTGGTGCTAATCTTCCTCAGTTGTGCATATTCCTGGCAGTTCTCTGCAGGACTGATGGTGATCTGAGTGAGCTCCAGCCTGAAACACTCCTAGGCTGTGTCTGTTCATCAGCCTTGAAGACATACTGATAGAAACAGCTCCTGCCTCTTGACATTGAGGAATGTGCAGCTGCCCTATCCATAGGGACATTTTTGGCTCATTATGACAACATTTAGTTCTAGGACTGTCTCCAAAAGGACTTTCTTATTGTGAAATTACTCACTACTTATTCAGATGACAGAGAAAAAATATTGCCAAATACCTTACAGGTGAAAATGACTGCATATATAAAACAATACAAAATTATAAACCCAGGAATTTATTAAGAAAAGGTATTTTGCTGGATGACCGCTTATCTATTTTGTAGATTCTAACACAACAGAAAATTTACTCACCTAACTAGGATTCACAGCACAAAGTCTCTGTGCTCTCTCCCTCATGTTCAGACAGTTTTAAAGGACCAGTGGCTGGGACAGTCAAAACACGACTGATTGCACAGCCTTCCTGCTACTTTTTAGGGAGTATTTCACATTATTGCTCATTTTGAACCTACCTGGAAACTGGCCACAAAATAGGAGGTGATGTTTTTGCAAAATGAAAAGGTGAGTAGCATCATCTATTATTGAAGGCACTTCAGCCTAAGAATGGGCTTCTTTAGGTCTAATGACATATATTAATATGTGTATTATATCTTAGCAGTACAGAGGGGGTACACTGCCAGAAGCCTACAGGAAACAAGCTTTCCTATATGATTTTAGAATCCAGGGCACTGGATTCTTATCCAGTAGCTTACGCAATTCCTTAAATTGACAGTTATTACTTTAGTTGTTCACTTTACTTATTTATTCTAGTGTTTGGAATACTAAATGACTTCTACATAGAAAGAGTTCAGGGCACCAAGGAATTTTAGAGGGATCCATATTGACAAGAAGACACACATTTAAATTTATAGAGATGTCTTTCTTTTTTATGCAAAGGTCTATTGATTCACTGGGTAGGTGTAAAATTCTCTGTTCTCTGTATAATTTGGTATCTAAAGTCAAAAGTAGGAGCGAAAAGGAAGATTTTTGCACCTCCATTTTGCAGATTGGGAACTGAGGAATGAAGGAATTACATTTCCCAATTCAGCAATCATAAAATAATGTAAAAAATAATAATGAGTATTGGAAAACCAAGCCATGGTTTCTATCCAATGGCAACAGCAGCGAGATAATAAACTCTGAAGGCAAAATGGCAAACTACAGCTGCATATACTTGGCATATAGTTGAAAAGTGATAAAGGACAACTTTATTCTAACAAAACCTGGGGCAGAACTACCTATGGAATACTTTCAACACAGAAATACAAGTTTAGAATAGTTGGGTGCTAAAGAGAGAAGCAGCAAGTATATGGTATGTAGCGAGTAGAAAAGGAGAATAACAAGAGTTAAAACATACTCGTCTCATCATATTCTCCTGTACCAAATCTTTTCTGTACCGGCTTTGTTGATTTTCCCTTTTTCTCCACTCAAATCCAAAGAAGTGCCAGCAGCACTGGCAGCACCCAGCGCTCTCCAGGCGGCAAACAAGTGGCTGCTCATTCACACCAGGCGTCCCGGCCGGGGCTGTCCCCGACGGTGCCGTGCCTCCCTCCGGTGCCGTGCCTCCCTCCGGTGCCGTGCCTCCCGACGGTGCCGTGCCTCCCTCCGGT